TTCCAACTGCCAAAGAATTGTTTTTTAACCTGCGCAATAATACACACGGGCGTCCGATTTTACTACCCAGAAACCAGGGGAAATTACTAGACGTCCAAGCGAAAAAAATCCCAATATTGTGACCTCCAGCACTCGCCATGCCTCGAGACTACTCAGCCCCCCCCCCCCCCCCAAGTCAACCACAAAAATCATCTAATGGTCAGGACAACACCGTCTTGTATCTGATCTCACAAACCAACCCCGCAGAACTCTCCTGTAAAAAAAACCGTTTGTCTCCCCCTTTCTGTAAAGCCCACAATTCCCTGCCAGGACATTAAGAACTCTTCTTCGATCCTTCTGTCAGGAAACTTATATCAGGAGGCCGGTAGCCTTTATGAAAGCTATCGTGCAACCCATATCCTCTCGTGTACCATACAGTTTTGTCTTCAGTGTGGTTGGAACAGGCCAGATTGCGTCTCTGTTGTCAGCATACAGTTGACAGTGTTGGAGCACATGCTCAGCATTTTCGGGTGCCACGCTGCAGGGTCACGTCTCCGTATTTCCTACACCGAAAAATTTGAACATATGTTGACGAAATCTGTTGTGCCCAGTCCTTAGTCTGAATATGATACACTGTCCCTCTCTAGAAGCGAGTCTTGGGGAGAAAATCTGGTGTGGGTATCCAGCCACCTTTCTTGGATACTAGATTGTATTAATGTTTTCATCTCTTGGTGGGTTAAGTCGCTATTTGGTTGTACCATGTCACTGCCGCTTTTGGCCAATCTGTCCGCTATTTCATTGCCTTCCAAGCCACAGTGACCTGGAATCCACTGCAGTACAGGTTGTTCTACTGAAGAGCCTAAGTAAATCAGCTGTTGCGTCAAGTCTACAAACTGAGTGTCTTTTGGGTTAACAATTGCTTGTAGAACTGACATAGCATCAGTCAGAAAGACCACTGTGCTATATTTGCTGTGCTGTTGTCCATTCAGGAAAGAACATGCCGCTAGAAGTGCTTCTGCCTCTGCTCTGTATTTGGAGGAATATGAACCTGTTGGTACAGCCTGGTTGATTTTTAAACCATTTGGGCATTCTATATATATTCCTCCTCCTCCGTCTCTTACTGCTGTCTTGGCTGAACCTCGAATCCAACTCGTGTGGATAACGTCTATTGATCTCTCCTTCTGTAGTTGATTTCATATCAGTGCTGCTCATTGATGATTTGGAGGAGACCCCTGTTACAGTGGTTCTGACTGTTGGCAGGCTATCCCTGGGCCAAGGGGGGCAGTCGTTGTAAGGTTTAAGTGGAACATTTGGTATTATGGGAGGGAGTTTAAAGACAGCGAGCTTGGCATTTGCGTTCTTAATAAAAACAGGTTCTCTTTAGTCTAGCCTTCTGGGGTTTCTGCAGTCGGCTGTGCATGGGTTGTTTTTTAAAGTGGTGGTATTTGGAGAGCTGGGTGAGGAGCTTTGTGTCTCTCCTATCTTCCAGATCACGAAGACCAGTAATTGTTTCTATATCTGATATGGGCGTGGAGCGCATTGTTTTGGATCTTTGAGGCTTTCTGAAAATTTGATTTAGCTGCTGTGCCCCAAGCAGCTATTCCATATTCTAGTGTTGGCCTCACATAGCCTGTATAGGTCCTCTTAAGGACATTGAGGTTTGCCCCCCCCCCCCCCCCCAATCCCCCAGTCTGTTCCAGCTAACTTCCTCATCAGTTGTGTACTCTTGAGTCCCTTGCTCTGTGTCTTTTCTATCTGTTTTCTCCATGTGAGTCTGGGGTCAAAGGTTACTCCTAAATATGACGCGGTGAGTCATCATGTTTCAGTGCCTGGCTGCCATATCTAAGCGAAACTTTCTGGGGTTTGGTAGAGACTGAAAATGGTGTGTGTGGTTTTGGCCCCATTTACAGGCATATACCAACTATTGGACCACCTCTCTAGAGTTCCGAGTGATTCTTGAAGCCTTGTCTGTGCTTTTTCAGTGTCCTCCTCTGAACTCTAGTAGCGCCAGATCATCGGCATACATAACAGCTGGAACTCCATTACAGAGGGTTGATTTTATGTCGTTAATGTAAACTAGGAAAAGAACTGGGGACAGAGCTCCGACTGATTACTTAACCAGCCACGATACCACCTTAGTCGAGGTCTTCGTGCGTCATTGAACACTCGGTCACAACGTGATCAAGTCAGTACTTTGTCAACTATTCACCATCATCATACGCTCTCATCTCATAGCCACACAGGACCATGACAGGCGCGCGAGCACACATAAAGGGGAGCACTCTACTTGACAAGCATCAAAGAGGAACAGCGTTCTATTATCCGTACTTGTTTTTTTTTTTTTTTTTTCAAACAGTGAAAGGACAAAACCCTTAGAAATTCACCAGCGAAGTATAAATACCCTACACTTGTTAACGAAGGCCACAAGGAAAGGAAAGAACATTAACTGTAACAGACCATGCAATGTTGAAAGAGAACAAAAAGGAGGGTTAGTGGGAGACTTGTCGTTCCATCTTATAGACAACTTGAGCGTAAAGATTCGGTCAGATGTGAACATTTGCACAAAACAAAACAACGTAACGTTTCCGCCAGGAAGCCTTTTTCAAACATAAGTGAACTACACAAACGTAACAACGAGGAGAGGAGAGTATGTTTTCACAAGACTTGGTTGAGGGTCTGTACTTCAATGGGGGAATAACGGATAGAGAATAAGTTTACCTACAATATTTTTAGCATACCGCATACATACACATACCGCAAACGACATGTCCAGGCTTGCCACAGGGATCACCGCTATCACCAGTCTTATTCAATGTGTATACGGTGATGATCACTGAGCAGCAGTTGAATATAAAGAGAAGGACTTGGTCATTTGCTGATTACATTTTGATTTATCGACGAGGGCGTGATAGACAAGAGATCACCAGCACAATGCACAAAGAACTCGATCGAATGGCCGCGTCGTGTGATAGTTCCAATGACTATGTCAATCTTTCTAAGGCAGTGTCATGGTTCTCTTTGAACAATCACATTGTCAAGTCGGACTTACCAGAAGTGAAAATGCGTGCTAATGTGTTGATCAGAACCAACGTTATGACGTTTCTCGGGGTGAGGTTTAATCGCAGCTTGTTATTCAGGGAACCTGTTGACCATGTGATAGCAAAAGCACGCAAAGGTCTATCTGCAATGAGGATTATGGCTGCTTCCAATATCGAGCAAAGACTACTAATACTTCTTTTCTACGGGCTGGTCCTCCCCCCCCCCCCCCCATTGAATTCGCTCTGGCCATCCTCACTGTCAGTGCTACCCAGATTGAACGACTTGAAAAGGGGCAAAATGAGACCATGCGCATTATTGTGGGATGTACTAGAGACACATCCTGTGGAGCAATGAGGTATCTACTTGACTTTCCAAGTATAAAACAAAGGATCAGGATCTGGAGGGCTCAGGCATACCTTAAAATATGTGCTGATAAGAGACACCAACTGCATCAAGCGCGTTTTAGTGAAAAGAACGACAGTCTAAAGAAGGGAAAATCACGGCTGTGTCGGGCAGATGTTTTTAGGCAAATATGCAGCCTAATCGACATCACCCCTGATGCAGAGTGGATACCTGTGCCTCATGCGTGTATTTGTACATTTTCCTGTATTGCCACACTCAACAGCCGATTATAAGGATTTAAGGCAAGCCTGGACATATTGTTTGCGGTTCTGAGGACCAGCTACCACATCTGAGTACTATCTGTCTCTGGAACAGGACCGCAGCAATCCATCGGATCAGAATAGGATTTACCTCTAGTTAAAGCAGTAATTGCAGATCACAGATTGTTGAGAAACATGATCACTCACGCCAGTCGGCAAGGCACTTTATGGTAATTTTCTGTCATTCTCTGTATTTATCAAAATGTCAATCACTCTTGCGCCAGTGCAGAAGAAGAAGGATATGTTGGATCGAAAACGAAGATATTTTGTCGCAGCCTAACTGTAAACCACAATATCAACGTGCCAACCACCCCTTTTAAAGGCGAACGCAGAATAATAATAATAATAATCAAATTATAAATCGGATTCCAAACCAAGATATACAAGACTCCCAGCATTCCGTGGTCCGACGTCTGCTAGCTGGGGTCGTGAACCAGGGCTACCAATGCTGGGGTTTTTCCCCCCATATCTGGGTTTTATATGACACCTAGGGGAAAATCTGGTTTAAAAAAATAATCTTTATCATCATCATCAGATGCCTTGCCGACTGGCATGGGCGATCATGCCACTCCACAATCTGTGATCTCCTGCAGCATGTACCAGTGCGTGTGCCGACACACCTCCATGCCATGCAACAAGACTGTCAAAAAATCTTCTCTCGTTGTCTACCTCTATCCCTCCTTCCACAGATCTTTCTAGTAGTCACAACATGTTTTATTTCCCATTTTCTCATAAAATGGCCGAAAAAATACGACTGTCTCCTTCTGATGTCTGTGATACGTTGTCTTCCGGCTCCCGCCTCTTTCAAAACCTCTTGGTTGTTCTTTTTGGCTGTCCAAGGCATTCTAAGCATTCTTCTGTAAAACCACATCTCTGAGGCCTCAAGAAATAATTTGGCCTGCCTAACGATTGTCCAGGATTCACAGCCATAAGTTTAAACAAGATGTAGCAAGCAAGAATTCTTTTTTATAACTCCCAATAATAAAGATATATTGCACAAGATGTTTTTCATGTTATAAAATGCAGTTTTTGCCTGTCGTATTCTGTTTCCTATCTCAGTTATGCATCTTCTATAAAAAATATAACCGTTATAAAAGTGGTAAATGTTTCGTTTCGTAACTATAAATTGTGTACATTTTAACAATCTGGGTCTTTGTCTATGTATTGGTTGGGTTTTTGTTTAGCTAAGCTGGGTTTTAAAAAAAATCCTATTGGCAGCCCTGTGTGGACGAGCTGGTCTCGGCTTTGCTGTGTCATCGGTCGTCCTACTTCTCAGTCTTGTTATATTTGCTGCCGTAGCTATAACTCGCTGCTTTTACCATGCCTGCACCAGCAAAGGTGTTCAGACGGTCTGAGCTAAAAGCTAAAAAGGACAGCAGGCAAACATACCTTATAATTCACAATAAAGTATACGATGTCACCAAGTTCTTGGAAGAGGTAAGTTCGAATAAGTTACACACGAACAAAGTTCCAGACTGAATAAATGTCAGAATTAAAGTGCTGAGACAAAGTTTATGAAAAAACCCGGACTTTGACACTCGTTGTTACGGTTGTTTTAGTCACACTGACTACATGAATTAATAATATGTATGTGGACATAAATTTCTGAAACGACACGACCAAAAGAAAGAAAATATATACATGATTGATATAATATTAAATTCCATAGCAGCTAGAGTTCAGAAACACGACCTCATGTTCGGCTTGAGTGGAGACCAAAGTTCAAGTTGACGGCATGATCTATTATTTCAGTTCTTCTACCTGTTGGTAGCTATTGTAAGGTGGAATTTTCTCTCTCTGTGTCCAGTTGTATCGTCATTAGTATTACCACGACGTGTTTCTGTACAGTTTCTACCATTTTCATTTTATCTTCAGTATGGCTCTCTGTGGCAGTTGGTACTAGGGCATTGCCACCAGATGGCCAGAACATAATAATCTGTTGCTCTTTAATGAACTGCATGGCTGATTTTAGTCCTGGTAGTGTACATATTTTTGACATTTTGCCTCCTCAGTATAGATGGAAGAGATTCAGGATCATAAAGAATATACAGTAGAAGCAAGACACTGGTATATCGGCTAGATGCTCACCTGATGCCCCGAAGGTCATAGGGTCAAATCCGCATGAAGCCTGATTTTTTTCAAAATAACCTTGGCTCCCATGTTGACCCAGCTTAAAATGGGTGCCAGGTAAAGTCATGGGAAATAAAGATGGTAACCATGATGTCGACCATATCACACACCGAATGTCAGTTGGTCTATAAAACATAGGTTTAGGGTTCTCCTTTAAATAACGGTCGCTAGTTGGACGTCGACGGCCACTTAGTAGGAGTTCACTCCCCTGGCTGCAGTGCAGTTACGGAGTGGACAACTCATGAATCAAAAAACAAAGTGAGGTCGACATGGCTGCTAGAGCTAGACCACGCGCTGCAACTGACATTAGCGACCGCGTTCTTGCGACGCAAGACTCTCGTAGACCACGCGCTGCGACTCAAATTAGCGACCGCGTTCTTCTGACGCACGACTTAGTGACCGTAGATGTCAGACCTGCGGATCTGTATGTCGTAATGAGCGATAACCTTGCGTGGTTTCCGTGATGTGTTACCCTAACCCTACCCCAAACCCTATTCCTAACCCTAGGATGACAGGTAACTACATCATTTGTTTCGTTCCCTCTTTTCCACTCCGTAATTGCACTTCAGCCAGGGGACTGAACTCCGACTAAGCGGCCGTCGCCTTCCAGCTAGCAACCAATATTTAAAGGAGAGCCTAAGTTTAAAACTGACTGCCCACTACCACTGAAGGTATGGGAAAAGGTCTTTCACTCTTTATGGAAGCAAGAGTGCCATCAGAATTGAAGAAGGACTAAGGGAATTAGGGGCAGATAAAAGAGGAGATAAACCAGGGTTTGTCTACTATATGATCTTTTCAACATTTACGTTGAAACAGTCCGTATAAACATCTAGCATCTACGATTTGGAGAATGAGGCCAAAATATAACTATTATGAGATGACAACAGTTTTAATAGCTGAATCAGAAAGTTTTGCTCAGACCATTCAAAGTGGTGGAGGAGTGTGAGAAGAAATCATTACCATTTAACATTTAAAAAAAAAAAAGAATGCCTGTTAACTTTTAAGAAAGTGTATAAGTCATATAAATAAATCAAAGAGATCAACAACTTTCAGTGTCTAGGCTACACATTAAAAAAATATTTATTTCATTTTCCAGCACCCTGGTGGTGAGGAAGTTTTGTTAGAGCAAGCAGGTAATTTTCATGTCTGTCACTTCTGTACACTTTCTGTAGTATCCCTTCCTTCATTTCTGCTTGTCTTTATTCTCTTTTACACGTTTCCTCAACCTTATCCTCCTCTTTGTTTTATTTGTTGATGTGTTTTATGTTTTGCAGCCTTTCTTCTTCTTCTGCCTTTCTATCCCCCCAATGGAGCATAGGCCCTCAACCAACTCACGCCAAGTCGTTCTATCTTTCGCCATTGCATGAAGCTTTTCCCATGTCCTCCTCATCTTTCTAACTTTATTCTCCAGCTCTCTTCTCCATGTGTTTTTTGGCCATTCCTTTATTCCTATGCACCTGTGGATTTTAATGCAAAGACATTCTAGTTATGCTGTTCTTCTGTTTTCTCAATGTGTGTCCTATCCAATGCCAGCGTCTTTTCCACACCTCTTGGTCCACTAGAGCCTGTTTAGTTCTCTCCCAAAGCTCTACATTAGTTATTCTGTCATACCATTTATTTCCCTCTATTCTGCGCAGGCACCCGTTAATGAATGTCTGTAATTTATTAGTAATTGCCTTAGTTCTTCATGTTTCCGCCCCATACAATAGTACTGATTTGACATTAGAATTAAAATTTTTTAGTTTAGTATTTCATTTAATTTCTTTTGACCTCCACAAATTCCCTAGTGCTATAAAAGCTCCTCTTGCCTTTTGTATTCTATTTTAATGTCTCTGTCAGTTCCTTCATATTTATCTACATTACTGCCCAAATAGGTGTATGTCTCTACGTCTTGGAGTGGGGTGCCATTAAGAGAAACCACATTACTATTTGCCAGCTCTCTTCTCCATGTGTTTTTTGGCCATTACTTTATTCCTATGCACCTGTGGATTTTAATACAAAGACATTCTAGTTATGCTGTTCTTCTGTTTTCTCAATGTGTGTCCTATCCAACGCCAGCGTCTTTTCCACACCTCTTGGTCCACTAGAGCCTGTTAAGTTCTCTCCCAAAGCTCTACATTAGTTATTCTGTCATACCATTTATTTCCCTCTATTCTACACAAAGGAGATATTTATTCTCATTATCTTTCTTTTCTTTATGGATTTTAAGACCAATCTGCTGTGATCTCGCATCAAGTATATTTAATTTATCTTGCATCTGATTCCGTGAATAGGACAGGAGAGAAATAATATCAGCGAAGTCCAGATCATCAATCTGTTTTTTTGTAGGGGTCCACTTTTGCAGCCTTTGCTAGAAATAAATTGTAACTGGCTCTTACAAGGCATACCAGGGTAGTTTCTGGAAAAAATTAGGCAGAGTGGACCTCCCTGAACTGGATGCAAGACATTGGCTATTTTTCAAAGTTGCTGTGCATCTACCTGAGAGACAAGGAACCAACATTCTGTTTACAAATAAGCCAGATCTGCAAAATGTATGTGCATGCAGAACTCAAGTTCTGAAACATGACTATAGTTCAGACATGGATGGCAACTAGAATTTTCTGCCAGAGGTTACAGTCGGTAAACAAAAAGAAATAGAAGACATAGCTGAAGAATTGCTAGAGAGACTTTGAGGTATGCGGTGAAGAGAGCGATGTTCCGTAAAGAACCTGAAGATTGCTGATGAGCTTTACAAATACAAACTTATATCTGTGTGAGGTTGCATGTTTGCAGTCTGTCTCATCTCTGTTCATATTTAAATTCACTCTGACTAGTTACCAACTGTCACCATCTGTGTGCTACCAGGGTACCCCAGGGAAGCAAAAAAATCATCATCACAACTTACAGAGCTTGTCATACGAGGCATTTGCTGAAGTATGGTTGTTGCAAACCACATTTGTCTTAAATGTGGTGCTTTTGAAAATGTACCTTCCAAGTCAGTGTGAGCAAGAATACACTAACAAATTACCATTAGTTATGCTCATATCATGCCGTACACTTTTATAGAGTGATGGAATTGGGGATTAGTGATGATTCTTCACTATCCTGACAGATATTTGAACATTGCTGTTTTATTATTCTTTTTTTGCCTTTTAATTTCAATTGGATCCTCAAATCACACCGGACCATATTGTTTCAGAACTTGTTTTAGGTGATTAAATTGTTAGCTAAATATTTATAAACAAGGCCAGCCCTGCTTAGTTGCCTCTGGTGACATGTTTGGTAGGTTAGTGTAACAATAACTATGTCATCATCTTGCCTTTGACCAGGAGCTGATGCCACAGAATCTTTTGAAGATGTGGGCCACTCTGCAGATGCCAGAGACCTCATGGAAAGTTACTACGTGGGAGATCTGCATCCGGTATGTAAACCCTAGGAATTGATACATAGTGGGTAGTTTACTGGCTTGCCTCCCAATGAAGGAGAAAATAGATCCCTTGAATCTATTCATGTACATCTCTGGAATCTAATCCTGTACATCCCTGGGATCTAATCCTGTATATCTCTGGGATCTAATCATGTATATCTCTAGGATCTAATCATGTATATCTCTGGGATCTAATCATGTATATCTCTGGGATCTAATCATGTATATCTCTCGGATCTAATCATGTATATCTCTGGGATCTAATCATGTATATCTCTAGGATCTAATCATGTATATCTCTAGGATCTAATCATGTATATCTCTGGGATCTAATCATGAATATCTCTGCTTTAATCGTGTATATCTGAGATCTAATCATTTATATATCTAGTATCTAATCATGTATATCTCTGGAATCTAATCATTTATATATCTTGGATCTAATCATGTATATCTCTAGGATCTAATCATGTATATCTCTAGGATCTAATCATGTATATCTCTAGGATCTAATCATGTATATCTCTGGGATCTAATCATGAATATCTCTGCTTTAATCGTGTATATCTGAGATCTAATCATTTATATATCTAGTATCTAATCATGTATATCTCTAGAATCTAATCATTTATATATCTTGGATCTAATCATGTATATCTCTGGGATCTAATCATGTATATCTCTCGGATCTAATCATGTATATCTCTGGGATCTAATCATGTATATCTCTCGGATCTAATCATGTATATCTCTGGGATCTAATCATGTATATCTCTGGGACTTAATCATGTATATCTCTGGGATCTAATCATGAATATCTCTGCTTTAATCGTGTATATCTGAGATCTAATCATTTATATATCTAGTATCTAATCATGTATATCTCTGGAATCTAATCATTTATATATCTGGGATCTAATCATGTATATCTCTCGGATCTAATCATGTATATCTCTGGGATCTAATCATGTATATCTCTCGGATCTAATCATGTATATCTCTGGAATCTAATCATGTATATCTCTGGGATCTAATCATTTATATCTCTGGGATCTAATCATGTATATCTCTGGGATCTAATCATGTATATCTCTGGGATCTAATCATGTATATCTCTCGGATCTAATCATGTATATCTCTGGGATCTAATCATGTATATCTCTCGGATCTAATCATGTAAATATCTTGAATCTAATCATGTATATCTCTGGGATCTAATCATGTACCTCTCTGGGAGCAATGTACATCTCTGGGATGTAACTGTGTGCTTCTTTGGGATCTAATCATGTATATCTCTGGAAAATGCCTAGCCTTATAAAACATTTGCTGGAGATTAACTAGAAGGGAAGGCATTGTGAGAAGGAACTGTCCTTGCTATCATATAATGGTTGATGGTTTGAACAACAGATCAACATCATGACACAAGGGTAGTAACCCATAAGTGCTCCTTTCTACTTCTAACTCAAGCCTGAGTCCGTAGAATCTCAGTGCAATGCACAAAATTAAAGACATATGAACTTTGTAGCACCGGCGAGAATCCTGAACTACTTTGGGTAGATTTTAAAGTCAAAATTTTGCCTGGACAGCGAGGTTATGCTACTCTTTTCGATTTCCAACAGCCAAGGGATTTTTTATATTCCCAACAATACATACAGGCATCTGATCTTACAACATTGGAGAACATCGTGACAACTGGAAAGATCAGTGGAAAGAGGGGTAGAGACAGACCAAGAGAGATAATGCTGGATGGCCTAAAACAATGGCTTGAAGCGATCATCAAAAGAGCTGCCCCAGTCAACCGGGGATTGTGATCTGTGGAGACACATGAATGCCTACGCTAGTTGGCATGGCACATGATGATGATAAAAATATATATATATATTGATACAGACTGCAATTTTATCAAAGCCAGTTGTATACACGCTCATTAAATGCACAAGGCAGCCATTAGACCAACATTAACAGTCTGATACCAGAAATGCAGTTTATTGTCGATGGAAGTGGCAGTTACAACAGATAATTAGTTGCAAACACAATTAATCGCATGAGGCACCACCAGTTCTCTGGCAGCAGGCCACTTGCTATTTTCTGAATCTGCAGTTCATAATACAAACCATGTTGAGCACAGTCAAAAAAACATTTCAGCTGAAATCCACAGCTCACAGTGTCACGCCATGCACTCAGCTCAGTACCTGGGCTATATAACTATTGCCTTAAAACAACTACCTTAATCACACCAGAACAAGGGTTAGTATGTTCAGTGAAGGACATTTTATGTGATTTCCAGAGGTTCAGGAACGGAGCAGTTACGGGTTGACCCATCTGTAGTGATGTTGGAACCTTGATTAACTGACTGATTAACTAACAATAGTAGTGTTCATGAAATGACTGCTGATAAAGCTTGCTTGTAAATTACTCAATTCTAAAACAGTATGTTCTTATTGTTCTTGTTATCTCATAGTTTATTTTTGTTTCTTCTACCAGGATGATCAAACAAAGAAGAAATATGCTGTAAGTATAGGTACCATGTTTTAGTGTATGTCACTCATGTGTTTTGCACTATGTTGTGGTGTATGTCACTAGTGTGTTTTGCACCATGTTGTGTGTGTCACTAGTGTGTTTTGCACCATGTTGTGTGTGTCACTAGTGTGTTTTGCACCATGTTGTGTATGTCACTAGTGTGTTTTGCACCATGTTGTGGTGTATGGTCACTCGTGTGTTTTAGCAGTTATTTCTTCTGGTTTTTTTTTTACATTTCTTCTTTTTCATGTTCCTCAGCTCCTAGTAAACTCCAGAGGAAAGTTCTGGTGGTTCATCCACTTCTAGACATTAGTCTTGTTTCAGAACTTGAGTCTTGTTTCAGAACTTGAGTCTTGTGTGCACATCCGTTGCTCAAATCTGGCTCATTTATATGCGGGCTATTGGTTCCCTGCCTCTCAGTCAGATGCCCTCTGACTTCAGAGGAAACACCCCTAATTAGTCAGCCTTTACAGCATGCTAATTATGAATTAATTGGGACAGGCACAGCAGTGTATGCAGATTTTATTTTTGTTACAACGTTTAGGTTGTCGATTTGTGTATGTTATTTAGTTCGTGTAGAATGATTAAGTGTACAAACTCACCTGCACAGACTGGCAGGGGTCTATTCTAATTTTTCTCCTCAATGGGACCCTGAAACCATAACAGAGATGTAATGTAATAAACCAGGGGATCTTGTGTTCCAGTCTTTCATTAAGGGAGATTTTAATATAGACCTGGGTTCCTAGGCTGCTCTAGTTCAGGAATAATTTGCACATGTTAGTTAGATAATGGATAAGGCAGCCATCAGATGTGCCAACACTTAACAGTCCCACACCAGAATTGCAGGTCACTGATAATACAAGCAGTCAGTTATGTAAGTCAACATTTGCCATTTGAAAACTGCATAAGTACATACCTTTCTAAACGTAATCGGCCACTCACCACTTTTAGTGCAGTTCACAACACTAAACTGTAAGTGGCACAACAGAAAAAGCATTGCACGTAAAATTCACAGCACACAGTGTCACGCCAAACACTTAGCTCAGTAGCTGAGTGTCACGTAAGTGGTGATCTGCTATATAGGACCAGAAGTCTGGTTTGTGAGGGAGGTTGATATTGAATACATCCATCGAGTGGCAACAGGTTTTCACTCAGTTGGGGCAAGCATTCTGTACACTTCAACTCATGATTTCCCGTTTGGGTTCTGGGGCCTCAGTTATAGAATAGACCCACTGCCTTTCCCTAACAGGCATGTTGCAAAAGACTAATTGTGTTTGTGTTGCCTTCAAAGTTGGAGTGCATCTTCCTGAGAGACCAAGAACCAAGAGTCTGCATACAGATAAGCCAGATCTGTAAAACAGATGTGCATGCAAACATTAAGTTCTGGAACAAGCCTAAAGTCTCGATGTGGACGAGCAACGAGAACTTTCTACCGGAGTTTACAGCTAATGAGCGCTAAATAGAAGGAAAAAGCATGGTAAAAGTTCCTTTACACGCTTCGCTTAGTATTTAACACCCTCTGTGACTTAATTTGCAAATAGGGAAAGTATGGGTGTAAATGTTTATTGCAGTCCTACAGTAGCGTCATCATGTACAATTCAGCAATAGTTTGTAGTAAGTCACAAAACAAAGCTGGTTATTGTTATTTCCTTTGATGTTCATGTCATCTGACTTAGCCGCTGTGTGCTCATTTACATTTCAGTAAACGTGGCAGGCATATGTTACCACTTTCCTTGTTATTTCACAGACAAACACAGGGCCTGCTGGGACAGATCCATCAAACACTAGGTGAGTCTGCTTCTTATGATGTTGTCATTTAATGCAGTGGGGGAGTGTGGGGGTTCTGGGCACTAATCAAGACTCAGGGAAAAGGCAAGAGGAATAGCTAACCAGATGACAGCAGGCAACCATTAGTTTGGAGATTCTTTGCTGGCTGTTCAGAAGGGATACAGAGCTAATGTGGGTTTGTCCTGAATGCTGTGATGTTGAATCTTGCCCCAGATAGCCAAGATAGCGGGTGGTTTTTGAGTTCAACTTCTTCAGTATTCCATGGCTGCTGGTCTCAGGCGTGAGCATCTTTGTGTGTGTGTGTGTTTGCACGCCCATACGCATGTGTACATGGGTGTGTGGCGGGTGAGAGATCCTGCTTTGTACTGTGGGTTTATCTGAAGGATGCTTACATGTTTTCATGGCCTACACCAGGGAGAGGTTGAGGCAGTAGAAGTGGACGCATAGTGACAGTGTCCTCTGCATCAGTGGTTCTCAACTTTTTTCAGGTAGTGCCCTTTCTTGAATATATGGCCAGACCACCACACGATACCTTTAAAAAAAGTGGTTAAAACAGGGAAGAAGAAGAAGAAAAATCCCAAGCACAAGAAGAACTTGGAGAAAAACACCCATATAAATCACCAGCAATTGGCAGTTAAGTGTCATCCATGTGATGGTTGACACTGATTTATCTTGATGACATGTGACATTTTGTGGTCTGATGTTGGATTTGGTGCAGTTAAGATCTACACACTACATTCAAGATGGCTGTGCCGTTTGGTTTTTGTGACTTTTAATATTTTATTTATGATTAAACTATTTAAAAAGATGATGTTAATTTAATATCACAACTGCTTGGTACCCCCTTCAAAACTTCGTTGCTCCCCTCCCTCCCCTTCCGAGGATTGAAAACATGGAAGGTGGTGGATTTGTATGTATGTGTCTAGGGGATCTCTCCGTGGGGAAGTGAACAAGCGGGTGATTACCTAGCATTGTAAGGCCTAGGGTTTATTGACAAGACTCCAATTTCTATCAGAATTAAACAGAACCAGGCCTGTGATGGCCACCACTTACTTGACCGGCATGGACAGGTCATTATTTGACACTACAAGACAGATCTTAGCAAACTTAACAAGCATATGCACAGGCTTCGTCTGAGCAGTTCACCACCGTGCATATGCACAGGCTTCGTCTGAGTAGTTCACAACTGTGTTCATGCCGGCCACGTGTAAACACTACAGAACGTGTCCTACAAAACGGTCCCTCGTACAGCCGTGCAGAAGGAAATACAGGCTCCATAAGTCAACACCATACTCCAAGTTCAGTTTTATCACAAGAACCTGTCTTGATATAAATCAAGAAAATAATTGCAAGAAGAAGAAGAAGACAAATCCACCTGAAGAATGCTGACTGTAAAACACAGGAATGTTTGGATAGGGATGGAAGAGTTTATTGAGTTGTTTTGTGAGAAGGCAAACTTTAAAGCTTTGTGACAGCTGTTAAACTGGATAGAAACAGATAATGAGTTGACCACATGCAAATAATGACAGGAACACAGATCTGATGCAGATTATGATGATAAGCTCTCTGTTCTTTTAGAGAACATAAAGGTCATTTATAGTTTACTGGGGGAAAAAAAAAAACTGCTGTTGCTGCCTGTATTACCCAGTTTTGGGGTGTTGAAACGGGGGTCTGTGAGTCTAAGAATTTAGGCCACTTGGCTAGTGCAGTCACCATTGACTGTAGGATACTATTTGTGGTGCCGAGAGAGACAAAAATCAACCATGACCACACATAGCATTTTAAGCTGCATCTTCCATATGAGAACACAGTGTTCTTAACCATTCGACTTGCCACTTCTCATATGTAGTCCTTAAGAAAAGTGAAGGACTCTTCTCTACGCCTTCAGACATATTGGGCATATAGGGCTAGTCCTGTATTATTTTTTTTTAGATTAATCGGCACTCGGTGGGTGATGTGGTCAGCATCACGCTGGCCACCTTTACTTCCAGAGACTTTATCTGGTACCCACTTTAGGCTGGGCCGACCTGGGAGATAAGGTCATATTTGGAGGAAAAAAAGTACAGCTTCCGATCCACGGGCGAGCATCTAGCTGCTGCACCACGGCAGCTCCCATGTGTAGTCTACAATCTGTGTTGATTGTAACCCATGTTTGTTTTGTCTCCAGCAACTCTTCATGGACAGGCTGGCTTCTTCCACTTGGGATTGCTGTAGCTGCCATTATTGGCTACAGGTTTATCTCACAGTCTTCTTCATAAGACAGAACCCAACCTGTTTTGTTGCTCCCATCAGATATGTTTACACTAGAAACCAGGAATGCTTCAGAAGTGTCGACATCAAGATGTGAGGTGTTTCAAATGGAGGGACGGTGGACTAGATATCCAAAGTTGACGTTTGACAGGAGGGTGTATGCAATTTGTCTTTGTAGTGTTAATTTTTTTGTATGTAGCTTGACATACAGACTGTTTTGTTAGCAACATAATTGTTGGAATCTGTCACATATACTCTCATGTGTTGCTTATTAAACCATGTTATTTTAGAAGAAATATATATGCAGTTTGTTTATGTTGTGTAGATTGTAGTGACTTGTATGTCTGTGTTTAACCAGAATGTTACACTGTGACATTGTGTCATACACACATTTGTGTAATATATATTTATGTAACGCAAAAAAAAACAGAGTATTTTTACATGAGAAACTGGATTCCCGGATATGCATGCACTGCGAACTGCTGAACGTGATTTTGGATTGGGGAATTTCTTTTGTGAAGAATTTATCTCCTGCAATTTTTCTTACTTGAACTCAGATTCAGATAAGAAGAAAAACTATTTCCTGGGTCTCCATTGAGTTCTCCTTATCAGGTCTGCACTATGTATTATTCAAGAGTTGACAGGTTAATGAAACACTGGGAATGTCAAATTGAATGAATTCACAGACAAATTTGTCCAGTATTGTGGCAACATAATAGTAAATCAAACAGTTACACAACCTCACTGTCTAGTACACATTGCCAGTAACTGAGAAGTTTTCTCCCTCCGAGGTTGGAGTGCATTTGCCAGAAAAGTGAGGAACCAACAGTCTGCACACAAATAAGCCATATCTGTAAAATGGATGTAGCCATGTAACTCAAGTTCTGGTACAAGTGCAGAAGTGGACGAACAACCAGAACTTTCCACTGGAACGCACAACTGATGTACACTAAGAAGAATAAGACTGAGAAGGTTTCTGACAAAAGAAAAATGCCTACCTACATTTCACAGCTTGTATTTATATTTTTTATGTAAAGACATGAAAATCGCTGCATGTGTTTGTATGCTTTTGTGTTTATCAGATCTGAGAGAACGCACAGAAGATTTCATGTATTGAAGTCGTCTATGAATTATTTGGGACAGGCACAGCAGTGTATGCAGATTTTATTTCTGTTACAACATTTAAGTCAGTTGTGGATTTGTGTATGTTGTAGAAATGTTTAGTGTAGGATCTCATTTTAACTGCTTGTTGAGCGTTGTTGTTATTTTGTTTAGATAACAATTAAGGGCATAAACAAAAATTTCATTTACACTTCTAGTCTTCCAGGATAACTGGCCTCTCTCTTATGTCTCCAAAGCAAGAAAGGTTGTTTCCCTTGCTATTCTACACTTGCCATTGTTGTCTCTCTCGTTTCACCTCACAGTGTACCTGTTATCTCCCCTGTTATTTTAATTTGAAATATTGCGGCTATCATGTGACAGCCGTTTCCCATGCAATGTTTAATGGTTGTGTATATCCAGAGCCTCTATATTTATCATGTTCTTTGTGCGCAGCAGCTTCTTTCTGAAATTTACCTCCCTTACCATATTCTTTGCATGACCCAGAGAATTTCATAACTTCAACAAGATTCAAACCTAATTTCTCCCCCACCTCTTCCAAGTATGAATGCTTGTATTTCTGTATACATGGCCTCTAGCAAAGAATGGACATTAGACCTGTTGCCTTTTCAAGAAGTCTGTTAAGTGAAGCATGGGTTAATACAGGTGAGGGACCAATTAATCATTCATTCAATCAGTCTATGCCTTCAGATACAAGATGCTACTAAAATGTTTGTAGCAGGTGTTTTTTTCAGCATCTGGTTGCAGTTTGTTCTTATTCAGCTTTTTATATAACTTATTTACAACAACACAGGATGTGTTTTCTTGTTAACATGTATCTGACACAGGCTTTGAGATGATTCCATTTGGTTGTTGTTCTGTGTCAGAATTTAATTTTTCTCTATGCACTTGATTGTATATGAATATTTGAATAAATTTTCAAGAAAATAGCTTTTACACAACCCATTGATAACATCATTAAAGTTGTACTGTGTTTTGAATAGAGGTCTTTCTAGTTGATGTATTTTGAGTTTGCTATGATGTTCTGTTTTCTTTTTGGTCCTTTGGGTGGGGATATTTATTTGCCTCATTCTTCTAGAGTCATTGTTATTTTTTTTATCTGTCCAATGATTGATGAGTGGATTTTATTATAAAATTATGTTATGTCCTGTTTTGAAGGTTAATCTAGGCAACAAATGCCTAGGTTTGATGTGTCGGCTAAAAAGCACAGCCATTGTGAAGGTTAATTTGTGCCTCAGAGGTTTGATGCGTCGGCCAAAAAAGGTACAGCCATTGAGGTTAATCTAGACAATCAATGCCTGCAGAGGTCAACCAAAAGTGTACAACAGGCCAGAAGTGGACCAACAACCAAAAGTGTACAACAGGCCAGAAGTGGACCAACAACCAAAAGTGTACAACAGGCCAGATGTGGACCAACAACCAAAAGTATACAACAGGCCAGAAGTGGACCAACAACCAAAAGTGTACAACAGGCCAGAAGTGGACCAACAACCAAAAGTGTACAACAGGCCAGATGTGGACCAACAACCAAAAGTGTACAACAGGCCAGAAGTGGACGAACAACCAAAAGTGTACAACAGGCCAGATGTGGACCAACAACCAAAAATGTACAACAGGCCAGAAGTGGACAAACAACCAAAAGTATACAACAGGCCAGAGTTTACTGCCGGTGAGCGTTAAGAAGAACTAACAAACTTTATTTTCAAAGAGTCACAAATTGGGCACGCAGGCCTGTCATAAATTCGGCTCTTCCAAACACCCATCATTCACACAGCAGTTGTATTTGATCACTATAGCAGCCCAGCCGGCTAGGTTACTTGGTTAAACCCGACTGCGCGGAGACCTGATGAAGAAATCCTTGTGATCCGGGTTCCCCCTTCCCAGTCACTATAGTATGTTATGTTTGTATACAAATATGCACATTATCAATATCAAGAAGCAAACACACAAAAGAAAAGAGAGAAAATTCGTTTACCTGTCCAAAGTCCATCTCATCTGCTGACATCTGAAACGTTTAACCAAAAAGTCACACATGTATGTTTACATAATCAGCGGCCCGTCTCTCTAGCGTAGTTGGTTAAACCGGATTGCGCGGTGAGCTGGTGACGAATTCCTTGTGGTCCGGGGGTAGGCAGAAAAGCCACATTTCTCCCAGATTTACGGTATTTAAAATGGAATCAATGCCGAAAGGTTGCGATATCCATAATACCGAGCCTAAGGGTTAACAACTCATGGCTTCTGGTTACTAAAACAAACACATTCGCGAGAACTGCGATGTAAAACAAAACCTGTGTTCAATTTTCTTTGAGGAAATGTTGCAAATATATGCAGGGTTTTCTCAGTACGCACGTCAAGAACATCGATACTGAACTGGTTAGACAAAGAACGTGACTTCAGACCTTGAAATGTTACATTTCCTGCAAAAGAAATGCCCCACCCCAGGTTATTTGTTAAATATTTATAAAACGACTTTTTGGTTATAGTTGTCTCAAAAACCTCCACCACTTTCTCACCGTTATCTTTCTGTTAATAAACAGAGGAGAAACCCTTGAGGCCGTTAAATATGATATAATAATAAAGTAATAGAAAATGTATTGATCAGCACTCATAGAAAGAAGTAGAAAGATAGAAGACCACACTTGACAACATAAAAAACGAAAGCTAAAGTTACCGTGCTGGGAATTGAGCCTGTCACCTCCAGACGGCGTTTGTACCTCGCTATGGAAACAAGTGCACTAAGAACATAGTCAACCAGGCACACTCAAAAAGGTGTCTTATTGGCCATGTCCATCGTAGAGCTTAATACCCACAACTATGGAATACGGACAGAATTCATCGTTAGGACATCCGGGCAGCATTCTTGTCAGGACAAACGCAAAATGAGAGGTCGTTTTTTAGTACACAGCCTTCCACTGACACGGTCGGCGTGTTGCTGACCATATTACCCACCTAGTGCCGATTGGTCTGTAAAAATATAGGTGCTCTTTCCAAAGGCCCGATGCGCCTAAAAGCGTGAAAAGGGGATCTATACTTTTACTTCTACTTATAGAACTAACATTACAAATTGTTTTCGTGCGCACAACTGTTACGTTACAAAGTTATTACTGAACCGGCCACGATCTGAACAATGTTTCTGTCACACACCCACATCTACATGGCGGTCTCTGTCTCGCTGACACTTTGACAACTGTCTATGGCACTACCTTCTGACTTGACTTTGCTAGAAGTCTGTACATACATCAAGGAGACGTACTAACAATTTGTAGGTGTGCAAATCTTTTTAACTATTCATAACATTGCTTTAAAACTTGATGTGCCCAGCTCTCTAGCGGAATTGGCTAAACCGGATTTCGCGGAGACCGGGTGGCGTACTCCTTGTGTTCCGGGTTCAATCCCGGGGGTAGGCAGGAAAGCCACATTTTCTCCCAGATTTACGGTATTTACAATGGAATCAAGGCCGAAAGGTTGCGATATCCATAATACCGAGCCTAAGGGTTAACAATTCATGGCTTCTGGATACTAAAACAAACAAACAAACAAAACTTGGTGTCCCCCAGAAAAGTTGCATGAGTCCCAGTGCATATTCCATGTTCCTCCTGCGTGCTCTACGCGAAGATTTGAACACACTGAGATTATATAATCGCAATCTGGATGGCAAGCCACAGCTTAGACACCCCGTTCAACCATCAAACTAGTTATAATTGGGCCCCCCTCCCCAGTATGATGTTACCTGTAATCTTGTGCAGGTATGATTATTTTAACATGGCCTTATGTTTTACTGTACCATCATGTTGTAGTTAATGGATAGCTGTCTCACAGCGGATCGTTTCTTCAAAATGTTGAATGTTATTTTACCTGAAATTAATTGAATTTAACGAAATTATTTATATACACCTTTACTTTTCATAATATTTATGGACAATATTAATAAAATAGACATAACACCAACAGATGTCGATAAACAGGAGGACTTCAATGAGCTGCTCTTTGCCGACGATCAATGCATATTTCACAGTGATAGTAAACAGCTGCAAGACCACATAAACCTACTACACGACAGTTGCCTCAAGCATCATATGAAGATCAATACTGAAAAGACAGAAGTCATGAGCATAAGTAGAGAGCAACAGACCATCGACATAAAGATTCTAGATCACAGCCTAAAACAAGTGTAAGAATTTAAATACTTGGGAAGTATCTTTACATTCAATGGTAAAATAGACAGAGAGATCGAAGCAAGAATCCAACAAGCCAACAATGTCGCATACCAGCTTGCCCCAATTTTAAAACACCCTGCTGTCCCAGCTGAGATAAAAAGACAAATTATAAATACAATCTTTATACCGACATTAGGTTATCAATATCAGACTTGGACATTAACAAAAGAACACGAGAGAAGACTAACCACCTGTGAAATGAGATGTTTGAGAATGGCTGCGAATAAAACCAGAAGAGATCGAGTGAGAAACGATGTGATTACAAGAACTATTGGAACCATACCCATCGTTAAATTTACTGAGAAGCAAAGAATGAAATGGTTTGGTCACCTAATGAGAATGGAACCAACGATGCCAGCATCAAGAGCATACAACATGAAAATCGAAACACCAAGAGGCAGGGGAAGACCAAGAAGAATATGGATTGAAGGAGTCACTGACAACTTGAGACTTCATAACATCACGGCATATGAAGCGACTGAGCGCGCCCTGGCTCGGTTGCCGATCATCTGATAGACTGCGACGCCTAGCGGCACAAGCAGATTTTGACAAAAGAAGAAGAAGATTTATATACACACAAAGGGCCTTCAAATAAAAACCTTTAAAGTTTGATAGAATCGTTCGCCGATGGATTTTCTTTTTCTTCAGGTTTCACACCTACACTGACTAAAAAAAAAAAAGAGGATAACATAACGCTGCTACTCTTTGGTCCATGAATTTCATAATCACAATCACCATCACACTCATCATAACAGTTATCAGCTCATCGGCACAGTTATCATCACACTCATTATCTCATAATCACACTCATCATCTTACATTCACACTCATCATCCCCTCATCATCACACTCATCAGATTCATCATGTTATCACACTCATCATCACATTATCTCATCACCTCACTCATCATGATCTCATCACCACACTCACCATGATCTCATCACCACACTCATCATCTCTTCACCTCACTCATCATGATCTCATCACTCCAATCATCATAATCTCATCACCACACCCATCATTTCGTCACCACACTCATCATTTTATCACCACACTCATCATTTTATCACCACATTCATCATTTTATCACCACACTCATCATCTCAACATCACACTCATCATCTCATCACCACACTCATCATTTTATCAGCAAACTCATCATCTCAACATCACACTCATCATGATCTCATCACCACACTCATCATGATCTCATCATCACACTCATCATTTCATTACCACACTCATCATTTTACCACCACACTCATCATCTCAACATCACACTCATCATCTCATCACCTCACTCATGATCTCATCACCACACTCATCATTTCATTACCACACTCATCATTTCATCAGCACACTCATCATTTCATCATCTCACTCATCATGATCTCATCACCGCACTCATCATTTCATCACCTCACTCATCATGATCTCATCACCGCACTCATCATGTTTTATATTCTATTCTTCAACGTGTTTAGGCACGCTCGCGCGCACACATTCACACACAACACACATGATTGTGAGCGTACACTCACACACGCGCGCGCGCGCACACAAAACACATGCATGCAGGCGCGCACTCGCACATTTAGAGCAACAGTTGAAATTCGGACAATTGTTACTTGTCTCTTTTATTGCCTGAGTGCATTGAGAACAATCTGGAAGTTCTCGCACAACTGGGCCAAAACCTTGTTGCTCTTAGATTTGGTCCTCTAATCCCAAAAACCTCCCGGACAAACTGTCAAGCGTGCTGGCCACAAATGGCCAGGTCCCAACGCCAAATGACAACCAAGACGAAGGAGGCGTAATTTCTGAACCAGAACCTATCAAAACTAGTTTTCTGCATCTAAAGTTCCTGTTCTTACACCAGGTTTCAAGAACATGCCAAATAGCAAGAACAACACCCCCGTGTGGGTTCCGGGGCCCTATTGTGGGGAAAACAAGAATAGACCCACTGCCTCCCCAAAAGCATGTCGTAAGAGTCGATTAATTGGGGAGCTTCCTTTGAAGTCGGAGTGCATCTGCCGGAGAGGCAAGGAATCAACAGTCTGTATTCAAGAGAATGAGATCTGTAAAACTGATGCACACGCAACACTCAGGTTCTGGAGCAGGACTGCAGTTCAGTAGTGGACGAGCAACCAGAACTTTCCGCCAGAGTGTACAGCTGGTGATCGCGAAGAAGAAGAAGAGCAAGAACAACACAAACAGCCCAACAGATTTTAATCTTCAGCTTCAAAGAACAAGATGAGGATACAAATACTGATTTAAGAGCAGATCATATTTCTCGCCATTATCTTGAGGTACACAATCCACCAGGACCAACTAATGACAGTTTTCTGTAAGAGAAGCTGAGAGAGATCACGCATCGCCGTTTGCCTAAAAACAGAGTTAGGAACATATATCGGGCAAGCTCAGACAACGGTTTTATTTATGACTCGCTTCTGTTTCCCGCAGCCATGAAAAAAAAAAAAAAATACAACGAAATACAAAAAGCTTGTTAATTTAACAGCATATTAAGTCTGGACTGAAATGTCGCCGAGTTCCAAACCTTGAACTGTGTACTTCCACGAAGAGATTTGATTGATTTTGAAATCTTTTGAATGAAAGAATCGAAACCCTAAGGATGAAAGAATCGAAACCCTAAGAATGAAAGAATCGAAACCCCTGAGGATGAAAGAATCGAAACCCCTAAGGATGAAAGAATCGAAACCCTAAGGATGAAAGAATCGAAACCTTAAGTATGAAAGAATCGAAACCCTAAGGATGAAAGAATCGAAACCCTAATGATGAAAGAATCGAAACCCTAAGGATGAAAGAATCGAAACCCTAAGGATGAAAGAATCTCGAATCTTAAGTTTGATGTATTGATGGCGATGTTGTTTGAGTCAAGAGAAGGGTTCTCATCTTTTGGTGTGAGGTTGATAAAAGGTTTATGCTGATTTTATTGACGATTTCGGATGAATGAATAAATCAAGAATTGGCATCACTAAGTGCCCTCTTAACGCATGGGCCCACTGAATACTTGCCCGGGGCCTTACGAGCACAGTGGCCGCATGCTAATCTGTGTATGTCAAGTAAAGGTCCCTTTCTACGCTTTAGGCGCATCGGGCATATGGGAAGAGCGGCTATATTTTTAGAAACCATGGGCACTAGGTGGGTAATGTGGTCAGTATTACGCCGGCCGTCTTTACTTCCCCAGGACATCCATACTGGTACCCATTTTAGGCTGGGTCGACCTGCGACGCCCCATACCATGATAAAAATCCACGCAGCCAGCAGTGGGTTTCGATCGCGGTACGTTGGATTACGAATCAGATTCGCGATGCCTAAGCCACGGACCCCGCTGTATGGCAAGTGACTTGATATAATAAGGTTAGTTGCGTATCCTTACAGGACGTTGCATAACCAACCCCAACAGCCCCTGGCTGTTGTGTGGTTTTTCTAGGCAATTTACGTCCAGTAGTTTGCCATTGCTTTTCCTGGACGGTCGGCTTTCTTGATACCACTATCGAAACCAACACAAGGGGCATGGCCCGCAGCTGGGATCGAACCCGGCATCCCGGCATCACGAAGCGTTCGCTTCGACTAAGACACAAAGCCGACTCTTGATATAATACATATTAAAAAATTCACTCCAATGAGTGGTTTTGTAGGAGCCCTAGCACATTGGTTTTCCTAAGGGCCCATAATGTTGTTAAGAAGGCTCTGGCTTCATTCAGCACCTATCTACAATTTGGGACAAATACAAAAAATAAAAAACTAATTAAGAAGAGTTTGGAGGCAACTGTGATGTGGTTCTTGAGAGGAATGTTACGAATATCTTGGACTGCCGGAATTACTAACAATGATTGCCTGGATGTTGACATCATGGCGCCCACTGCCGTCAAAGCGGCCAGTCTCCAGTTTCTCAAACAGGTTTACCACGGCAAATCTCTCAGCTCGTCCAAGACTGATGTTACACTAGATGTTGGTGATGGGAGGAAAGTATCTGGAATCATATGTCTTTAAAACACTTACAGAGGACATCGGCTGAGTTCAGAGATGTCTCCCTGGAAGATCGCATGCAGGTGGAGCAGTGGCTGGAGTACAGGTTGTACATCGAGAGCCTGCAGGATGTGGAGTCTGAGCGAGCTGTGTTACAGGAGTTGAACAGCTACCTCCAAGACAAGGTTTACTTTGTAGGTCACAGCCTGACAGTTGCAGATATACTACTGTACCACAGTCTTCATCGGGTGTTTAAACATTTGAGTTTTCATGATAAGGAAAGATTCATCAATGTGTCCCGGTGGTTCAACAATGTTCAACATGACCGAAGATTACGACAGTCATTGACATTACTGCCATTCGTGAGAAGCCCGCTGTATTCAGGGACCAGCTCTCATTCAACTCAGGTCTGTGTGAGCAGCAGGCAGCTTCCACACAGTCAATGATATTCTTGGCCGGTCACTTTGTTGTGGGACATTTTCTGAGGAGTATTGGACAAATGAAAATAAATACACTTTAAAACATAAAAAAAAAAAAAGAAGAAGAAGTTTTGCCTGAAAGCGTTGAATCTGGGACAGTCTTGGAGGATTTGATCTGTTGTCTCAGGTGCCAGTCCACAAGTACACATGGCTGATTAGCCAATCTTAAATTTGTTGTACATATGGCAGCGAAGTCGATTGTGCCCTGTTCTAAGGCGAAGGATAATGACTTGCTCTGGTCTGTCCATAATATGGTAATCGTCTTGTGCCAGTTTCGGTGGCATTCTGATTTATTTGATCATTCTCTTCTTCTGTTGATAAGAGACTGGTATGTCGGGTTGTTCTTCAGTTGCACCTTCCTTAGCTAGTTTATCAGCTTTTTCGTTTCCGGGAAGTGGGAAGGTATCCACTGCATTACTAAATTAGAAATGGTTCATGAAAGTAGAACATTATATACAACAATGAGAAGGAAACAAACAAAGTTCTTTGGTCACGTGATAAGAAAAGGAGCATTAGAATATATCGTGAGGGCTGGAACGATCACTGGTAAAAGAGGCAGAGGTAGACCAAGATAAACGATGATGGATGGCGTAAGATAGTGGTATGGAGGAATGTCATCAGTAGAATTGACCCAGACACCAAAGACAGATCTATGGAGATGCACGAATGCCTACTCCTACTAGAAAGGTACTTGATGTTGATCTGCGTTTGCCCCATCCCATTCAACAGCCAGAGAAGAGTTACCATGTCGAAGGTGTCATTGGCAACCGGAAAGGAAACTCTGCCTATCTTTTCTCCATGGCTTTGCACATCGTTCAGATCATTTGCTAACACCTTGATGAATCAGTCCTGCCGTTTAAAAAGCTGTCTCCGGCCTTCTGCTCAATACATTCTAACCTAGCTTGTATCAGCTTCTTCTTCTTCTTCGTGTTCACCAGCTGTAAACTCTTGCGGAAAGTTCTGGTTGTTCATCCACTTTTGGACTGCAGTCCTGTTCCTGAACCTGAGTTTTCGTGTGCATCCGTTTTACAGATCTGACTCATTTGTATGCAGACTTCTGGTTCCTTGCCTCTCAGGCAGATGCATTTCGACTTCGAAGACAGCTCCCAATTAGTCGACTCTTACGACATGCTTTTGGGTAGGCAGTGGGTCTGTTCTTGATTTCCCTGGAAAAGGACCCAGCAACCCACACGGGTAGCTTTTATCATAATCATCGGTTCCTGGGATCCCGTTTATACGTTACACAGAGCTTATAATCCATTCTTCAGTTCTTATTTCCCGTGCAATCACTTCGATGTCATGACCGGAATCCAGTCCAACATTTTTAGCCTATCACCAACGGTTTCTCTCGGACGCCGTAGTTTCCTAAATCCATTTTTTTTTTAAATTTCCCAAGTGTATTTCCATTGCTTTCGTGTAAGGTGTTTTGTATGTTTGCTTAAATTCTGTCAGTCTGTGTTACACGTGTTGCTGTTTGTAAGTATTTGTAGTGTTATGTTCCCGTGTATAAGAAAAACACCAAGGAAAGAAAGGGAGGTGGGAGGGTTGGAGACAGTGTCATCATTGTCCTTGAAATTTGTCAGAATCCATTTGTTTCACATTTAGTGCCCGCTTCATGATTGTCTCTTCGCTTCTCCTCAAGGTAGGCTTATTCAAATTGACATCGTCCGTGTCCTATAACTGGGGTTTAGCAGCTTTGATCCCGTCATTCGTCAGCCAATTCATCTTTTATTTTGTATTGATCGTGTGCCCGGCCTGATATTATTGACTGTGTTTATCACTGTGTATATGAGCTAAAACTGTGTTGAGTGAACATGAGCTAAAACAATGTTGAGTGTATATGAGCTAAAACAGTGTTGAGTGTATAAGAGCTAAAACAGTGGTGAGTGTATAAGAGCTAAAACAGTGGTGAGTGTATAAGAGCTGAAACAGTGTTGAGTGTACATGAGCTGAAACAGTGTTGAGTGTACATGAGCTAAAACAGTGTTGAGTGTATATGAGCTGAAACAGTGTTGAGTGTATATGAGCTAAAACAGTGTTGAGTGTACATGAGCTGAAACAGTGTTGAGTGTACATGAGCTAAAACAGTGTTGAGTGTATATGAGCTAAAAAAGTGTTGAGTGTACATGAGCTGAAACAGTGTTGAGTGTATATGAGCTGAAACTGTGTTGAGTGTATATGAGCTAAAACAGTGTTGAGTGTATATGAGCTGAAACAGTGTTGAGTGTATATGAGCTAAAACAGTGTTGAGTGTACATGAGCTGAAACAGTGTTGAGTGTATATGAGCTGAAACAGTGTTGAGTGTACATGAGCTGAAACAGTGTTGAGTGTACATGAGCTAAAACAGTGTCGTGTGTAGCTGAAATGGTATTGTGTGTACGCATGCTCAAATTGTGTGTACATATGGTCTATGTACTGATGATGTGTGTAAATAACCTGAGATAGTATTGTGTGCATATGGGCTAAGTCGGTGTTGTGTGTACGTGAGTTGAAACAGTGTTGTGTGTTTGTGAGTGTGTCAGCGCCCTTTGTATGTGTGTGTGGTCACATTCAATCCATCGCCAGCTCGTTATACACTTTGTGCGCAAGATTGACGACATTATTAGAAGTGACCCAAGTTTGGAAGCTTTCTGTCGAAATCTTTGGCCCATTAGAGCAGGCCGACGCCATTTTGACCCAGTTCTCGATCAAATATTGACCGTGTTTTACCTGTTCATTCTCCTGATGTGTGTCCACTGATAAGAAAAGAAACCGACGGAGCTAGTCGGTACAGAAGTGCTCATCGAGTATTTCGGTCTATGGCTCTGTGTTTTTTAACCTGCGTTCATAAACGCAGACTCCAAGAAAACATGGGAAAGGCTAATGCTCAGTCCTTTTACAAATGTTCTGGGAGGGGGAGGGGGAGGGGAAGAGGTGTCACAAGAAATGAAATAATAGGTAGATGTGACTGGTCTTTTTAGAAGAGGACTTAAAAGAAAGCCATCACTCCTTTCACCAGGAACGCCAAAATTGCTAGTGGCTCGATTATATTTTATTTTAGGGGGTTTGTCCCAGGATAATATTACATAGGCAGACAACAATTCCTGTTGTGGGAACTAGATGGTAGGTGGATCCCACTACAATAGAAAATATAGACACCTGGGAAATATCTAGTTAAAGACCAACCTACAATTTCCAATGCCCCCAACTGTGTTTCACAGTAAAGACGAAGAATTAGTATGTATAACCACCATACATACTTATGTTTAAAATGATAAGATTGAAGACAACTTTTCACATTTTATTGCTCAAACAACACGTATTAATGAGCCACAGTATCAGGGACAAAAATCTAATGTAGTGCCAATGAAGTATAGTTTAAAATCCTACGGGATGCATAAACAATTCGACCAAGAACATGGCAAATTATAAATGAATGTTCATGATCAGCAATCTACTGTTGCAATCTCTGGATACTCAGTCAGTTTAGGTTGGCGGTTCAATCCTTTCCTGTATCAGACTAGAAATTGTACACCACTAGCAGAAATAGCCAAACGAGATAATGGCATTGAATTCTTTCGGCTTCAATCAACAGACCATCTGTGGCTGGATATGATTCATATGTATCAGTTCAGATCCGCAGACGAGCAGCTGCTATGTGTAGTATAGCGTAAAGTAAACACACAGTTTTCACATGCACAGTTCACGTTGCCCTGATTACTCATGCTAAATAAGCCACACCTCCCCCGTCCCCAACCCTACAGCTCCATCATAAGTGGTAACATAAGGACATTGAAGACAGGATGGTGTGAGCAAGACCGTCTTGAAGTCATCAGCCAATGGAACCAGGCTCGGTTCTTCTCTTGATTTAAACAGAGTGATTTATCCATCAGTGCCGAGTTAGTTCCTTGTAAGGTAAGGACTAGTAGCATCAATACAGCCATCTAGTGGGGAACATCTTCATTTCTTATAACAGGCTGCTACGTTGTGGCAATACAGGTAACTTTCATTGCAATCGCCAACTAGCATCAATGTTCTGGCCCCCTCTGATCTGCAAAGTTCCTCCAGTTAGTGCTGTACCTCATACTACATGCATTACAACATAATATTATAATACATACATAATATGTTGCGGATATCTCAGCTAGTTCTTATGTCTGCACGCAGATATTTCTCTCCTGCTATAATTCCTTACATATGCTCATATCCTTCAACCGAACGCTAGGAATAATAAGGATTCCAAGCACTTCTTTAGAAATGAGCACAAGAATCAATCGATTCCACTTAAATGAAGAGTTACATACAGGCTTTTACATCCAACATGATTTCTACAGCAGTGATTCCCAAACTGTGAGCCGCGGCACCCCGTGGAACCGGGACCTCTTCTCAGAGGCGCCGCAAAATATTCGAAGATACACTAGTTTAATTTTTTTTTTATCTCTTAGATACGAATAGTCATACTTTTACTTAGGTTGGGGTGCCGTGGAAAAAATTGTATTAAAAAAAAAAAAAAGGCGCCGCGACTAAGACAGGTTTTGGCAACACTGTCCTACAGTATAAAGATGGTTTTTCTTATGTCCTACCCACATCTGTGGAATCAAAAAACGAATCTGCATCATGAAGCGCTAGGATTATTCCCCCTAAAATCAGATTTACAAATTGAATGAGAATATGAATTTTTTCTGCAGACATGTAGTTAACGAAACGGGTGGCGACACACACACACAAGCAGTGGGTAAATGCGCTATTCTTACCAAATTTGTGCTATCAGTGCCAGACATGTACAGTCCTAGAAAAAACAAACGCAAATTATCAACATGTGAGAAAAGACGTATAAGTAGTGCGGCTTGAAAAACAAGAAGAGACAGAGGTACCAACGAAGAACTAAGAGCAATGGTAGGCACGGTGTCAGTGAATAGTTTCATAGAACATCAAATAACCAAATGGTTTGGTCATATAGACAAAATCTGCCAGTAGCTAGAGAGCA